TTAACATTGCAACTAGTACAGTAACAATATTGATTCGTTGTTTTTTTGTTACATTTTACGTGCGAATTTATAATCGAATATGACGAGCTTTCTTCGGAGTTAGAACTTTACGTAGCATTTCAGCTTTCCTTTTTGAGATTCACCAAGTTTCTCTTATTCTTTGGTTTTATTCGACAGTTCTTCAACGTTGCAACTAGTACAGTAACAATATTGATTCGTTGTTTTTTTGTTACATTTTACGTGCGAATTTATAATCGAATATGACGAGCTTTCTTCGGAGTTAGAACTTTACGTAGCATTTCAGCTTTCCTTTTTGAGATTCACCAAGTTCCTCTTATTTTTTTGTTTTATTCGACAGTTCTTTAACATTGTAATTAGTACAGTAACAATATTGATTCGTTGTTTCTTTGTTACATTTTTCGTGCGAATTTATAATCGGATATGACGAGCTTTCTTCAGAGTTAGAACTTTACGTAGCATTCCAGCTTTCTTTCTTGAGATTCACCAAGTTCCTCTTATTTTTTGGTTTTATTCGACAGTTCTTTAACGTTACAGCGAGGATAGTAACAATATTGATTCGTTGTTCCTTTGTTACATTTTTCTTACTAATTTATAATTGGAAGTGACGAGCTTTCTTCAGAGTTAGAACTTTGCATAGCATTTCTGCTTTCTTCTTTGAAATTCATGAAGTTCCTCTTATATTTTTGTTCTTATTTAAAAGATTTTTAACGTTGCATCGAGTACAGCAACAATATTGATCCGTTGTTTCTTTGTTACATTTTTCTTACTAATTTATAATTGGAAGTGACGAGCTTTCTTCGGAGTTAGAACTTTACGTAGCATTCCAGCTTTCTTTCTTGAGATTCACCAAGTTCTTCTTATTTTTTTGTTTTATTCGACAGTTCTTTAACATTGTAATTAGTACAGTAACAATATTGATTCGTTGTTTCTTTGTTACATTTTTCGTGCGAATTTATAATCGGATATGACGAGCTTTCTTCGGAGTTAGAACTTTACGTAGCATTTCAGCTTTCCTTTTTGAGATTCACCAAGTTTCTCTTATTCTTTGGTTTTATTCGACAGTTCTTCAACGTTGCAACTAGTACAGTAACAATATTGATTCGTTGTTTTTTTGTTACATTTTACGTGCGAATTTATAATCGAATATGACGAGCTTTCTTCGGAGTTAGAACTTTACGTAGCATTTCAGCTTTCCTTTTTGAGATTCACCAAGTTCCTCTTATTTTTTTGTTTTATTCGACAGTTCTTTAACATTGTAATTAGTACAGTAACAATATTGATTCGTTGTTTCTTTGTTACATTTTTCGTGCGAATTTATAATCGGATATGACGAGCTTTCTTCGGAGTTAGAACTTTACGTAGCATTTCAGCTTTCCTTTTTGAGATTCACCAAGTTCCTCTTATTTTTTTGTTTTATTCGACAGTTCTTCAACGTTGCAATTAGTACAGTAGCAATATTGATTCGTTGTTTCTTTGTTACATTTTTCGTGCGAATTTATAATCGGATATGACGAGCTTTCTTCAGAGTTAGAACTTTGCATAGCTTTTCAGCTTTTTTCTTTGAGATTTGCGATATTTTTCCTATATTTCCTTTCTTTTTTACATAGTTTTTAACATTGTATCGGATACAGTGGCAATATTGATTATTTGTTTCTTTGTTACATTTTTCTTCTGAGTCTGCAATCGAATTTGACGAGCTTTCTTGAAGGCTAGTATCTCGTGTAGAATTTCTGCTTTCTTCTTCGAAATTGTCAAAGTTTTCCTTATTTCTTCTCCTTTTCTTTAACAGTTTTTTCTGCTCAATTATGTTCGCCTTGTTTCTCTATAATCTGTTGTTTCCCTTAGAAGTGGAGAGCTTTCTTCATAGATAAAAGACCATATAACATTTCTGCCTTCTTCTTCAGAAGTGACGAAGTTTCTCATGTCTCTTTATCTTTTTAATTACCAGGTTTTAATATTGCTTCAATTACGTTAATAATTCTGATTCGTTCTTCCTCTATTACATCTTATTTATTATTTTTGAATCTTTGATGAAATCCAGTAAGTTACGCGAATAAATAAGGAAGCAAAATAAAATTAAAAAGGAAAATTCATAACTTCTTTAAAAACAATTTTGATTTCGCTTTCGATTCGCGTTTGTGATAATAAAGGAAAACACTTTTGAATTATTATACTACCATGATAATTCATACTGTTCGAACAAGTAATCCTTTCTTCCGGATCCAGAGGAACAATTCAGAAACGAGGGAAATGAAATGGGGATCAAGGAGTCAGAAACCTCATGACGATGAAGTTAAACTTAAAAAATTTAGTAATTTATCAAGAATTGGTAATTGCTGTTACTTTTATTTCACGAACGCTTATCTCGTAAAGACAGGGTATAATAACAATAATAACAATAATAATTCCACGTTAAATAAGTTAAATAAATATTTAGTTACCGTTAAACAACCGATTACACATTCCTTTCCCCGACATTTCTCTAACTTTCCATTTCACATCCTCGATCCTTAAAAATTAACTCTTAAATAAGCCATTAATAAAAGATCCGAATTAATCATTTTTATTTTATTCAAAATTACTCTCGATCTGACAAGTGTAACAAAAAGGCTCTCGAAAATACCAGGCTCGAATAATACCTCTAATTTGCCATTGTCAGTGCCTTATATAGGGACACATACACACACGAAAATTTCGTTTTGTATAATACATGAAGCGCGCTAACGACAATTATAATTTCTCTTGGCCGACGAAATCGGAAGAGTACATCCAAAAGCGGAATAAAAACGCAAGGTATACCATGTTGAACTGTCTTTGGTTTAATATGATACAACAGAGCGGGCGTTCTGGGGGGAGGGGCCCGTGTACACGTTACATATTCACATATATAATTATATTTTGCAGCTTCTACATCATCAAATCTGTTTATGTACAACATACACCAAGCGATCGATAATAATACACGAATTTTCCCGTACACACCGCGTATCGATCTCGCGGAATGTGTCCAAATCGCTACAAATCCACCGAAATCTGCCAAAAATCTGCGGAAAAAAATAACCTCTCACAATTGATCGGTGTGAATAATTCAACATTCCTGAATACGCTATCGAGAACACCTGGATCGACACATTCCGCGTACCTCTACGCGAGTACACTGTACCTAATAACAAAAGACAGAGAAATCGGCGAAAAAGTAACCGTGCTCTATGATTCGATGCGAAAATAAATTTTCAAAGACTCGAAAGAATTCGGGGAAAAGTGGAAAATAAAAGGGAGAGAATTGACATCGGTAGGCTAATCGGTAGGATAATTTTCTCTAATCGACGCTCGACCAGGCTGCGCTGCTGCTTGCGAAAACGCTGGATCGTGGTCATAGATCCTTCCTAGACGTCTAGGATCCTGTTTGATCCTAAAGATCCTCGATACCGGGAAAAACGCGAGCGATTTTTAAGACAGGGGCTCGTATCCTGCGATGTTTCAAGCGATCGAACTAAAAATGGCAGTCTTGCTTGTTTAAAATGTGAAAAAGTTACTAGAAAATGGTCGATGCTCTGAAAGAATGAGGTCTGTTAAATAAAATAAAAGAAGAAAAGGTGGATGTATAAAAGATCGTGATAAAATGAAATGCGCATTCGAGATCGATTCGTGAGATCGACATTGCCACGCAGATCGGCCTTGCTCTCTCTTTCTCTCTCTTTCTCGTCGCGCACCCTCTCTCTCGGCTAGTTCCACTCGATCACGGCTAATCGCGCGAGGGTGGTTCGATGCATATCACAGATACGATGATATGGAATTGAAAGTGCTCGGAGATCGCGAACTACGCACGAATCGATTATGGTAAGCTTATATGCCGCCGATTAAATCGAAAATTAAATAGAACACGCGTTTGTCTTAAGGGATGCGATCAACCGTAATCTAAGCTACGACGAGTTGTAAGTACGAAAAATCGGCCGAGTCGACCGTCCTCGAGCAAATGTCGGCGCGAGACCTCGCGTCACGCGCTCCTCCTCCTTCGGACCCGGAAGTTCGGATAAAAAGAAGAAAAGAAGGGGATAAAATCGGGATAAAATTGCGCTAAAATCGAGAAAAATCCGGGATAAAATCGTAATCGTAAAATTATAAACAATTTCGAAGAAAGATATTAAAATTCCCTAGCTCAATGGGTAAAGAGGATTCCTTTTAATCGGTAACGAAAAGAAAATGGTAACCTTCGAGTCACCGGGGGTGGCGTGTCGCTCGGCTCGCGACGAGTATTGTATAAAAAGGAAGAAAGAAGAAAAATAAGAAGGAAAAGAGATTTCTCTAAAAAAGGCCACTCGTCGAACCAATGTCGGTTAAAATCGATTTAAAATCAAGTGAAACACGCAGCGTGTCGCGCGAGTAAATATAATCCGTCGCGACGAACGGACACACGATAAAAGGACGAAAAAAGGAAAAGAAAAAGAAAAAAAAAGAAAAAAAATTCGAAAAAGGATGAAAAAGAAAAAAGAAAAAGAAAAATAGTACGGGAGGAACGTTGGTGAATCGTTTCCTTATATAAAAATTTACATCTTCATACCGTGCAAAGGTACGTCAAGCGAAGGGAGTAGCAGCAGCAGCGCGGCGCGTAACGTAAAATGGCGTCGGCCGCGTCGGTGCGTTTCCTTCTTCTTCCCCTACGATTACTATTAAAATTCTACTAATAATAATAATATTAATAATTAATAATAATAATAATAATATATCCTTCTGTATCTCTCTCTCTCTCGCTCGCTCGCTCGTACTCTCTTTCTCTCTTTCGCTCATTCTCTCTCTCTCTCTCTCTCGCTCGCTCTTTCTCTCTTACACTCTAGGTAATTTTAAGCTCTAGACACTTTAAATACAGTTAATCGGACATGTAAAATCTTTACAAAAATAAAATAAATAATCTGAATAAATACGAATATAATAATATTACAGTTAGTCAATAAATTATTATATAGGATTAAGAGTGGGGCGCGGATGGCTCGTCGAGTGATTTTTGCTTTTCCTCGTGGTCGACGTTACAACGACGTCGTGCTTTCCTCTTCAACCACGCGTGACAACCACGCGATATATATCTATACGCCTCGATTTCTCCTTACTCCCTTCTCGCACGACGCGAATAGTCTAAGTTAAAGCGCGAATACTGTATTTTCTTGTATATTTAGGATATAATACCGCTGCGGTGCACAAGCTCGTTTAGACGGATTCACGAAGGGAATCCTTTCATCTCCTTCCATCTCCGCGCCGCTTCTTTCGCGTCTTCCTCTTCCCTATAACCTCAATGAATCCCTGAATGAGATTGCCAGCGAGACCCCCGTTGGCGTGGCTGTCCTCGAGTTTTCGAACACCGAGAAGTCTCATTTTTAATGGAGAATCAGTTCAACAGAGGAAAGCAGAAGAATGATCATCCACGAGTGTTCATGAATGATACATTTCGTCAGCCGAATCTCTCCCCTTTGAACACCTCCAGTAAGAATGATACATCGTTGGTTTAAAAGCGAAAACACCGTCGCGTGGAGTAATTTAAAGGAAGAACTAAGAGGTCTCGTGATAAAACATCGAAATACATGGTACATTGGGTAAAACGCGTGAGATTTTGAAATCCGCGAAACGGAACAGCCACGCCAAGGGAACGCGAAAGAAGTGGCGAAGGAGAAACTAGAATACAACGCTTTGTTCGGTGATGGAAATCTCAACGAACGGTAAGATGTCGCTGGGAACTCTGGCTGGTCTTCCTGGTCTGTCCTATTAATCCTCTTGCACATTATGATTACACTTTGGACATGGATTTCGCGCGTGCTTTAAGTCGCGTTTTAGCGTAAGCACGCGCGGAAATGAGTGCGTGGATCGCACACGATCGTGAACTATGGCGGCGAAAGCCAATGGGCTGCTCATCGTACGACTCTGCTTCCTGTTGCTCTCTATTCCCGGCTGTCTCACTGGAACCTCTGACGGCGAGCATCGACGATGGCGGTGTGAACTATTGACGGGACTCGATGACGATATTCGTCGATCCTCTGTCTCAAAGTCATGCTAGTCAACTTGATACAGATACACACGCACAGGTTCGACGATACGGTGTATCCGTCGGTGTGTGACGGTGGTGCAGCATCGCTGGCTGGACCCGTGGCCGACGGATAGGCCGATCGTCGCCATGGAGACACATCTCACTGGAACCGAGACGGGTGGTAGCCCCTGGCCTGCTTGACAGAGCACGCCTAGGATCTTCCCTGTTACCCACTTTTTACTCCAACCTCATGACGAGAGTTGGCCATCCAGGTTGGGCTGTTCCGGTTTCCTGAGATGGGCGAGTCGTCGCCTGGTAGCCCTTCTTCGGCTTCCGCCTTGCCATCCTCAGGACTGAAGACCTCGGCGAAGGTGCTCGAACACCTGCACCACGTATTCCAGGCCGTTCATGTAGTCGCGGAAGATTAGCCAGTCCCGAAGGTTCCGATAGGTCTCTGAGGTCGACACGGTCCGGAATTCCGACTTCATGATGTCGCGAGTAGCGTCTGGCCGTGACGACAGCTGGCGCTCCACTAGTGCCACTTGCAGCTCGCAGAGAACCTGCAAATGTATATTTTCCGACGTTAGGGATCGTTTTCGTTTGTTTGGGTAACGGTTCTCTCCAACAGACGCGCCGCGTGGGGGTGCTGTGAGATTTTTGTGGGAATTAATGGAAAGTGTTCGTATGAAGATGTAAATCGTTGTGGATATCGATACCGATGTTGTTTTATTTATTTTCGTGCAATGGTAAATGTTCATTCGATACCATCTCAGATTTGGAAAAAGAAAAGAGAAGGAGAAATAAGTGACAATTGTGTTGAATTTTTGGAATAGAAAGAGCAATAATAACAGATGTATTTAAATTTTTATCCAATGTGAAAGATAGTAATTTTATTTAGCAGATAAAGTGTTAAAGTTTGGATTAAATCTGAAGAATTTTAATTACAAATTCACATTTTCATATTTTTATTGGAATATAAAGTTGGTATCGATTTTCACAAATATCTAGAAATTTATATACGAAGTCAAATTTTTCAAATTATTAAATTTATAAAGAATTCATTTCGAGATTAAAATTTTGCCAATTCTTATTAAATTCAGACTAATTATTAAATAATTATTTAATCCATAAAACAACACTCGCGAAAATATTTAACAAATTCGAAACATGGTAGTCTTGTTCAGGAAATAGTTAGGTTTATACCAAGTCAAAAAATAATAACAATCTTTGAATCACTATATTCTAAACTAAATTATTATTTTTGGAAATTATTGATTTTTAATATAAATTTAACTATATTAAATTGTTAATATCACTTTTGACAAGTGATAATTTAGTTTCGAATATAATGATTCAAAAATTGTTATCACTTGTCAAAAATTAACAATTAAAGTAATTATGTTATTTATATTAAATCCAAAAATAATAACTTAGTTTATAATATAATGATACAAAAATTGTTATTAGTTTTGGATTTGGTATAAACTTAACTATTTTATGAACAAGGTTCTCATCTTTTGAATTTATTAAATATTTTCGAGAATGTTGTTCTGTAGATTAAATAATTATTGTCCGAATTTAATAAGAATTGGCAAAATTTTAATTTTCAAACGAATTATTTATAAATTTAATCATTTGAAAAATTTGACTTCGTATATAAATTACTAGGTATTTGTCAAATTCGATACCAACTTTATATTCCAATAAAAATTTAAAAGTATGAATTTGTAATCAAAATTCTTTTGATTTAACACAAACTTTAATACTTTATCTCCTAAATAAAATTACTATTTATTTTTTACATTGGATAAAAATTTAAATTCATCTTATATCCTTAATTAAATTTCTTTTTCTAAATAACGAATATTATTTTTTAAATCTTATCAAAGGTTTTAAAAATTTTCTACATTGGATAAAAATTTTAATTCATCTTACATCCTGAATTAAATTTCTTTTTCTAAATAACGATTATTGCTCTTTAAATATTAGCGAAGGTTTTATAAATATTATTTTACAATTTCCATTCCTTGGTTTTAATAAAAATTTCCAAGATATCTTCTGAATGAAATCATTATTTTTCAAATTGAATGAAAATCGGAAAAATCCAGGAATGGAAATAGGAAAAGTATCCACAAGATATTTTCTGATTAAAATAATTATTTTTCAAATTGAACGAAAATCGGAAAAATCCAGGAATGGAAATAGGAAAAGTATCCACAAGATATTTTCTGATTAAAATAATTATTTTTCAAATTGAACGAAAATCGGAAAAATCCAGGAATGGAAATAGGAAAAGTGTCCACAAGATATTTTCTGATTGAAATAATTATTTTTCAAATTGAACGAAAATCGGAAAAATCCTGGAATGGAAATAGGAAAAGTGTCCACAAGATATTTTCTGAATGAAATAATTATTTTTCAAATTGAACGAAAATTTAAAAAATCCAGAAATGGAAATAGGAAAAGTGTCCACAAGATATTTTCTGAATGAAATCATTGTTCCTCAAATTGAACGAAAATTTAAAAAATCCAGGAATGGAAATAGGAAAAGTGTCCACAAGATATTTTCTGATTGAAATAATTATTTTTCAAATTGAACGAAAATCGGAAAAATCCAGGAATGGAAATAGGAAAAGTGTCCACAAGATATTTTCTGAGTGAAATCATAGTTCCTCAAATTGAACGAAAATTTAAAAAATCCAGGAATGGAAATAGGAAAAGTGTCCACAAGACATTTTCTGAATGAAATCGTTGTTCCTCAAATTGAACGAAAATTTAAAAAATCCAGGAATGAAAGTAGGAAAAGTTTCAAAAGACACGAGGTACTTAGTTCCCCGTCCTAGCCGGTGGTAAATCGTTAGAAGTAGGAAGTACAGCGAGAAATCAGAGAAATCGACTAGAAGCTGACTGGACGAAGCAGCGATCCAGATTCGTCAAACGAACTATAAACTTTTTTCTCCTGCGGTTCGAGTGTTTAGTCGCGTAATTTTTGCGTGAAGCTCGTAAAAGCGAAGTGCCTTTTTTACCGCGTTTGCGACAATGGAAGGCAACGTGATTCAGGCTAATAGCATTCGGCGAGATGGTACCATTGTGAAAGTTGTTCAATAACCCTTTTTTCCTCGGGAAAAAATAAAGGGAACGCGAAACGGAGTATCGTAACACGAACTCGAAGTGTGTTAACGTGAATGCATAAAACTCACCGTTCGCAGTTTGTATTCGGTGTCCTTAAATTGCTTGCGAAACTCGAGTTGGAGATCCTCCTGGTCCCAGACTATCTGTTCTAGGCCCACTGCGAACTTCTGCATGTACTCGTACGCGTCGATGAGGGCCGAATCGAGCTGTGAAAACGAGAAGCGATTTTTAATTTTAATTTACTTACTTTTGGTTCTGTAATAATTATTGCAATCGCGTTAAAATCTTGGAAGTAACTGAATTTTGTATTTAATTTGTTTAATTTGTGAATTTATGATAATATTGATCTTAGAAATATTTCTAAGCTTCTAAGTTCCCTTGAGAAACAAAAAATATCTGAATTCCGCGTGTAATTAATTATGGTCGTTTTATTATTATACTTGAGTCTTCAGAATTATTTTAAATTGGATTAATACGTATATGTGTAAGGAAAATTTTGTTTATAGTGGTTAAATATGTTTAAATTTTGTGCTTAATTCTACCCAATTCGTTATTACATTTACTATAACAGTATATAATGCATGATAGTTGTTTAAACGGACCAGATATAGCAATTTAATTTTCTACTTAGACTGCATGAACGAAAAAATTCAGTGTGTGAAATCGCAAGATTATCATAGTTGAAATAATTTTTATGAAAACAGGTTAATATGCTGAGTAATTAAGCACACGCGACTCTAAGAGTATTAGCATAATCATTTCCATAAGGATGATAGAATTCGGTCTAATTTCAGCATTTTTCAATATAGTAATTTTATAGTATATTATATATATTTTATATAACATACTACAATACAATATAGTATAATATTATAGTGATTATGTAATATTGTATAGTACATCAATATACAACTATTTACAATATTATAACATAATAATAATTATTTTTAACTAAATTTTAGTGGCAAGAATATTTGTGATATTGACATAAAATTAGTGAAACGTTCTTTCTGTTTATGTCTTATTGTTCTATTTATAAATAAAATAAAATATTTTATATATATACTATATAACATACTACTATATAATATAGTATAGTATTATAGTGGTTATGTAATATTGTATAGTATATCGATATACTACTATTTATAATATTATAGCATAATAATAATTATTTTTAACTAAACGTTAGTGGCAAGAATACTTGTCATATTGACATGAAATTTAGTGAAACGTTCTTTCTTTTTGTGTTTCATTGTTCTATATATAAATAAAAAGGAAGATATAAATAAAACAAAAGTTACATATACATACTTCTAATTTGTCGAGGTATTCCTGATTTAGCTGTTCTCCTAGTTGCTTGGGAATTTCGTTTGGCCCAGGGAGCCAATCGTAATGATTGTCTTTGAACGTCGAATGTAGATCGGCAAAGTCGATGTTGAATGTTCGTTTAGCCTGCAAAAGCACGAAACAAAATCGTACGTGTGATTAAACAGGATATTTAACGTAAAACAAAATTGAAATAAAATCTGACATTAGAATTACCAAGAGAAAATTAAAATTATTAATTTCCAATATTCGTAGATTACTTTGCAATTAATGAAAATTCAGAATAGGTGTCGAGAAAATTAATATTAACTTTTGTTAAATAAATTTTTGCACATAGAATTTTGACATTTAAATAGTTGCAAAATAGCTAATCATCGTCATCATACTACAATATTTTAACTACCCCTGTAGGTACGTAATATTTAGATACATATCTTGGTAGTTCTAGTGTCAAATAAATATATATAATATAACTAGTGATTAAATTTCACCGTCGTCTTTCCCCAGATATTTCATATTTATTTCTTAAAAATATAGAAAATACCGAAGAACTTAAATCACATTTTGCTTCCGCAGTAATTCGAATTTTTAAGTATAATACTTTCTACCGATAAAGTAAATATACATACAAAATCATATATATTGAAACTACCTCGCACATACTATCGTAATAATTTCTTCCATATCTGCAGAGAAATTACACGTATTATCTGAATTTTATGTCTCCTCGATGAAACAGCACGCGACGAATCATACCTATGAAACAACCTGTATATCTAACTCCTTCATCCGCAAAGCCAGCAATTTGCCCAGCTAAGTAGACAAACTGACAGAAAAATAAGAAACACAGACTCAACGAGGGCATACCATAGTACTTGCTCGTCTCGGCTAATAAAGTCCTAACAAAGAGACTACATTTCCCCTAAGTTAACTATTATATTATCTAGCAAATCACCTGTATCAATGCGTCAAGGGTACCAATGATCGGCCATGAATTCCTAACAGCTAGTTCGGGCGATACGGTTTTTCCACCGATTCGGTAATTTTGTTAAAACGATGATAAGGCAACGTTCACACACGCGACAGGTGAATTTTCAACGGAGATTTAGCACTGTGTGAACGTTGCTTTCGGTTATCACTGATCCAGTGAAATTAGCGAATGGATAATAATCGAAACCAACGTTCAGAGACCTCTGTGTGATGCTAACACTCTAAGACACGTGATGCATAGGATTATTCAATGAAGATGTAGCACTGTGTGACCCAAGTACGCGTGATAATTGGATTTTTAAATGATATAGCACTGCGTGAACGTTGCTTTTTGCTATCATCGATAATTCACAGACCTCCATGTGATGCCAGCACTCTAAGACACGTGATGCACAGAATTATTCAATGAAGATCTGGTACTGTGTGACGCAAACTGTGTGATAATTGGATTTTTAGATGATGTAGCACTGTGTGAACGTTGCTTGTGGTTATCACTGATCCAGTGAAATTAGCGAATGGATAATAATCGAAACCAACGTTCAGAGACCTCTTTGTGATGCTAGCACTATGAAACACGTGATAGACAGGATTTTGGACAATTATAATTGGAAATTGAGGTGATATAGCATTGCGTGAACGTTGTTTTCAGATATCATTGATCCAATAATATTAACGAATTGATAATAACTTGAACAAATGTTCACAGAGCTCTATGTGATGCCAACAGTCTAAGATACGTAATGCACAGTATTTTCAATGAAGATTTAGCATTGTGTGGTACAAACATGTGTGACAATTGGATTTTTAGACGATACAACACTGCATGAACGTTATTTCTTTCTGTTACCATTGATCCAGTGACATTGGCGAATCGATAATGACAGAAACGAACGTTCACAGACCTCTATGTGATGCCAAGATTTTAAGACACGTGATAAGCAGGATTTTCAATGAAGATCTAGCATTGTGTGAACCTTGCTCTCGGTTATCATCGGTTCACTGAAATTGGCAAATCGGTGATAACTATGGGCAACATTCACACACGTCTGTGTGATACAAGCACGCGTGGTAATTGGATCTTTAGATGATATAGTACTATGTGAACATTGTTTTCCACTATCATCGATCCAGAGAAATCAGCGAATCGATAATAACCGAAACCAAGTTCACAGACCTGTGTGTGATGCTAACACTATAAGACATGTGATAGACAGGATTATTAATGAAAATCTAACACTGTGTGATATTAACACTATAAGACACGTGATTCGCAGGATTATTAATGAAAATCTAGCACTGTGTGAACATTGCTCTCAGTTATCACTGATCCAGTGAAATCAGCGAATCGATGATGACAAAAACGAACGTTCACAGACCTCTATGTGATGCTAACACTCTAATACACGTGATGCACAGGGTTATTAATGAAAATCTAGCACTTTGTGATATTAACACTATAACACACGTGATTCGCAGGATTGTTAATGAAAATCTAGCACTGTGTGAACATTGCTCTGAGTTATCACTGATCCAGTGAAATCAACGAATCGATGATGACAAAAACGAACGTTCACAGACCTCTATGTGATGCCAGCACTCTAATACACGTGATGCAGAGGATTATTCAACGAAGATGTGGCACTGTGTGACCCAAGCACGCGTGATAATTGGATTTTTAGACGATATAGTACTGTGTGAACATTGCTCTCGGTTATCATCGATCCAGTGAAATTAGCGAATCGATAACAACCGAAACGAATGTTCACAGACCTCTATGTGATGCCAAGATTTTAAGACACGTGATAAGCAGGATTTTCAATGAAGATCTAGCATTGTGTGAACCTTGCTCTCGGTTATCATCGGTTCACTGAAATTGGCAAATCGGTGATAACTATGGGCAACATTCACACACGTCTGTGTGATACAAGCACGCGTGGTAATTGGATTTTTAGACGATATAGTACTGTGTGAACATTGCTCTCGGTTATCATCGATCCAGTGAAATTAGCGAATCGATAACAACCGAAACGAACGTTCACAGACCTCTATGTGATGGACAGGATTTTCAATGAAGATCTAGCATTGTGTGAACGTTGCTCTCGGTTATCATCGATTCGCTAAAATTAGCAAATCGGTGATAACTAAAGGCAATGTTCACCCACATCTGTGTGATGCAAACACAGGTGATAATTGCATTTTTAGATGATATAGCACTGCGTGAACGTTGTTTCCTGCTATCATCGACCCAGTAAAATTAACAAACCGATAATAACCGAAATCAACGTTCACAGACCTGTATCACGCGTGTTTACACTCTAAGGATTCTTAATGAAGATTCAGCACTGTGTGTACGTTGCTCACGCTTATCAATGACTTGCCAAAATTGCTGACAACCGAAAACAACGTTCACAGATGTCTGTCTGGCTCTAATCCTCGTGATACTTGGATCCTCATCGAAGTCATACCCCTACGCAATGCCAACACGTGTGACAGTTGAATCTCTACCGAAGATATGACGCTGTGTGAACATAGACTTCAGTTACCATGGATTCGCTAATTTTACTCAACGATGATAACCGAACTAATCTTCACAAACGTCTACCTGATATTAACACGTTTATAGTTGTTCTTTCAATGAAGTCATGGCACTGTGATGCTAACACGCGTGTCAGCTGGATCTTCAACGAAGACATGTCATCGCGTGACCAGTGCCTTCTATCACCATCTATCCAGCAAATTAATAAATAAACCATGGCACTATCTACACAGCACTATACCCATCGGATTTATCCATACACTGAGCATCCAAACCCTATAAAAATTTTAGAATGATCAATGCACGGATCAATTGAAGCTAGGAATATTAACAATACGGTTATTAACAATACAATTAACAATACAGTGCAGTGTATAGGCATATACAAAGGACTATAGCTAGTGGATTAATGTATTCTACACTGATCATGAAAATTCTGTAGCAATACTAGATTGATCAAGGGATAAATCAACTTTTGTTTGAAATATAAACCATTGATAATAGAGTACTCGATATAGCCATCCACGGAGTACTATAGTCATTGGAACTAATCTATCCACTGATCATTTAAATTCTATAGCAATTCTAAAGTGATCGATGGATATATAATTATCGCTAGAGCTCTATCACGAAACAATCGAATTTCCAATAAGAAAATGATAGAATTTGGTATGGCAGTGGAGTTAAAAAGGAAGGAACAGTAATTATAGAAAGGCAACGATTTAATAATTGATAACTCGATCGGTGTGCGTTTGAACAAAGGAATTTGGCTGACGACCGACACGTGCAAAATCATACATTAGTATGTAATAATCAAAAATATTTTAACACTTAGCGTACGGGTCACGAGATATCTCGTTTTCAGCTTCTTCTCGATTTAATCTGTGCCTTAGACAACAAGAGACAAATGTTTTTGTTACGCTACTGGGGCAGTGAAGTCTTGCACATTCTTGTGACAAATGATAAGCAAAATAACTGAATGTCGACATTCCAAGAATGTAAAAACAATCAGTCAGTATAGCCAGTACATCGGTAGCTCTGCGAGGATCGTTTACCGTCCTTATAAAGTGTTTTATTGTTGTACATTTTGTTATTTCGAAATATATGTGCAAATTTGTACGAAAATAGTCTTTTAAAAATCATTTACATTTTCAATCTGGTGCCAAACAACATTGCACAAAGGAGTACGCTTTATCAGATATCACACTCTAAAGCATTATTCAAGTTTGTGAGATAAATATTAGATAAAATGTATAAAAATATACAATAAATCGATGTATAAAGTATACAGTAATATCTAAGAATACTTTATGCGAATATATTAGCAATTTTAAATTCAAAATGTGCATATATGCAACGTATTGCTTGCCAAGCATGCTTCTAAGGTGTTCAAAAATATGCGGTCTTTGGGAGCGTTTTGACACAATGTGTTAACATCGACGTTATATGCAAGATATCTCGACTTATGTCTTTAGCATTGGAAAAGAAAACATCACTTGTGTTCACCTATTAACTCACCAAAATTACCAAATCATCTTCTCTAAACAGCCTCCAAAACCTCTCTATCCAAAAGTTAGCTCAGCCATCCTACGACACCCAA